CAATGCCTGCAAGTTTTAGATGTATTTTAGTTAGAGAAAAATTAGGTTGGGGTTCCATGAAATCCAAATTTAGGTTGGAAGGGAAAAATGATTCATTCCGCTAAATTTCTCTAGAGGAAAAAAAAAAGTCCAAATTGGAAAAAATTGATTCGATTCCTCAATCCACCCATGGCATTATTGCAAGATAAACCGTCTCAATGGTGAGTGTCTCATATCAGATGTTTATGCAATAATGAGGTAAATCCATATGTTGCTCAAACTTGATCCAACACTCGAGAACTAACTTGGGCAAACTTTCCTTGAAAGTCTGGTGTAATCATGTAAACTATAAAAGAAATGAAAAAAAGAAATGGAAAGGGGGGAAGAAAAGAGTGGGATCTTACTTTTATTCTTTTTGGAAAAGGCTCCACCAACATGCTTGCTTTTCATCTTGATGACTACCTGTAGATAAAAATGTATGATCTAAGCATAAGTTTTGTGTAATGTATAATTAAGCTGCCCATGCATTCCTCAATATGATGTTTTTTGTTGTTGCGGATATTACACATACCTCGTATTTTTTGTTTACATAGACAAGTACACGTTTCCATCTTAGCACTCCTGAAAATCACAAAAAAAATGATACCATCATCTTCTATTCTAAAGCAAGATCACAGATCAGCCCCCTCCTAGATGAGACAAGTTGAACTTACCTTTTCTAGTGATTTGCAGCAAGTCACCTTCTAAGGGAGGATCATCCTCTTCCATTTCTTTGTTAGTAATAGAAGGGTAAGCTTCCATTAACACCTTATCGCAAGGACTTATAGTTGCATTCCTCATTGTTTCTCTTGGCATTCTCGCTCTCAAAGCAGCCGCCCCTCTCAAAGCTTCATCAAACCAAAACCAAAACCATTCCGTTACTGATAAGTATTGTGAAAAACAGGTTGCAAATGTAAGTCAGGACTCTGCATTGCTGACCGTGTTGTCAATAATAAGAAAACATATCATAAAATTAAAGCATATGAAATTGATCTAACTCTCCACAACACAATTTTTAAGATCAACTCAATATTAATATAAGGATGAGTCCAAAACTCCAATGATTCCTCATTGGAGTAGATTAGTCCTGAAATCCGTGTACTCATTTTGAGTTTAAGGGACTCTCATACTATACTATGACTTGAGATTATACCTTAAAATGTCAGTCACATAGGATAAGTAGTTCTAAGCACTTATACATGAGACTATCAATATAACTGGTCAGTGTAGAATGACATAACACACTATAAACAAAACCATATGCATAAGTAGATGTGTACCTGTGGCAGCTGCAGCTGTGAGAGTGGTGAGATCACTGGCACTACGAATGTCCACAGCTGACCTAACCACAGAGGCCACACGATCTCGATCTGTCCCAGCGGACTCAGCAACTTCTATACAGTGAGAGGCCAGGAGCTCGGTGGCGGATGCCAGTGCGTCGTTCATCTTTGAGTTTGACCCTTTAGGACAACTACCTGTTGCAGCCGCGGCTGCTACGGCCGCGGCTAGCCCTGCAACCGACAGCAAGGCATGCTTTTGCGCATTTTCGAGGCGCACCTTGTCTTTCTTTTGAACGGAGCTACTGCTATACTCTCTGGAATTGAACCACCTCCCTATTTTAGCTCTTTTCCCATTTCTCTTATTGACTATCTTGATTGGCTGCAAAATCGGAATACTTTGTCAAAACTGAAATTCAGGTGTACATTGAATGCACGTTGGGACAGCTTATAATCTTAATTATATACAATCTTTTAGATCATGATTTTTTTTAAAAAAGTTGTGTTTGAGGAGGATTAGTTGAAAACTTGAAATATACAGTTTATACTTCAAAAAATATATCAAATCTTGAATCTGGAAATTCGTAGATGAGGATTAATCTAACCAAACTTATTTTTTCTTTAAGCTACTTTGATATTTATTTTCTCTAAACCTGCAAAAGGAGATATCTTAATGCAAAAGGGATTATAACAACAAGTTGTACACATAATCTGCTACTGGAATTTGAAATAATCTAATTTTTGTAGATCTCCCAAACAAGCTCTAAGAGCACGTTTAGATTTTTAAGTTGTCTTCTATATTATAATCCATCTTTGGTATAAAAAAACATGATGTGTTTAGGAGTATCATCTGACATATATAGTCAGATTATTCCCTAAAAACTGTTTTCTTGAATCTTTTCATCAACTTTTTTTTCTTTTAGCTATTTTGGTGCACTTTGACCTTGCAAAAAGCTGTTTTTTTTGCTGTTTTTTTCAAACCACTTCTCTGCAACTTTCCCAAACAGAAAATGGGTTCAGATTAAAACAAACCCTCAGAAATGCAATCAATTTCTGAAATAATGTGCTCCAAGTTTTTCCAGTGAAAATACATATCTTTCTTTATTTAGAGAAAGAAGAAGAAAAGCTTACAGGAGATTGTATAACATCTGCCTCTGGAATGACATCTGGTTTGGGTTTGTTGTCAAATGCACCAAGTTTGTATTTGTGGGCCAGAGCTTTGGAAATCTCAGAAGCAGAGAGGGTCCAAGATCTTGACAGGAAGTCCATGGGCTCTTTTGGTGTTGGTGGTTGAGGAACTGAACCCAAACAACCCTTCATTTCATCATCCTCTTCTATACTCAACAGCCAATGTGAGGAGGGATCTTTCTTCCATCCCAGAAGCCTATTACTCTCCTCCATACTTTTTGTTCTTAGCTTTTGCATACACAAACACATCAAATCTGTCATCTGCTCTCCTATATTCTCACCCAAGAAGTCGCATTCTATTTATTTACACAGAAGAAGAATGGGAATGAAAAGCTGATATGAAGGACGGGAAGGAAAAAGGAAGCCTAATCCCAGCTTAAATATTCTAAACTGTCGTTGTACGAGAAAAGCTGAACGTGCTAGGGGTTTCACGAATTTGTGTGCTGAGGGAAAAAAAAATAGGATTTCAACTTAATAATAATTACCCATTAATTCGACTTAAACTAAGAAAATGTTGCCCTCATTTAACGGGATTAATGTCCCCTAAATTACGTGCAAGTGCAGCCCCATTTCTCTACAAGTAGAGACCCAAATACAGAGTAATTTTGACTAGCCCCTTGAGGCCTATGTTGTAAAAATCGGACCGGTGAGCGACCCGGTCATGTGACTGGGTCATGGGTCAACCCGGACCCGGAGGGTCAACCCGGTCAAAGCCGAAAAACTGGTCAACGATTATACGTCTATATAATAATAATAATAAACATATAATTATATACACTCTCATTATATATTTTTATTTGTATTGTTCATTCATATTATAATTTGGCATGATTTTCATTCTTAAATAAATATATAAATATATTACATAGTTTTTCTTTTTAGGGAATTGAAATTGCAATTTTATTGGTTTAAAAAATGCATTAAAATTAAAAAAGAAATTACTCTTTTTTTGGAAAAGACCGAAAACCGGGTTTTTCGGGTTTCTTGGGTCGGGTCCGGATCGGATTTTTTCGGGTCACCCGGGGGTTTCCGGTTTTTTTATCATTTTCGGGTTTTGAAGAAACTGTACCGGATTTTTGTCTGGGTCACCGGGTTCCGGGTCAACCCGGCAAGGTCGGGTCGGTTTTTTAAACATAGCTTGAGGCTTGAGCAATACTAACATTTACGGAGTACAATTATGGAAATGCTTACATAATGTTAGTTTTTCATTAGGGTTCAACTTTACCAACTTTAAATGAATTGCAATTGCTCAAAATAGGATCAAAATTAAGAGAATGTTTTAAAATAGGATGAAGTTTACTTTGTTTTTCTGTTGGACTTTCTAGTCTCATTTAGTACTTGTTCAATACTTCAATGTTTAATGTCAACATTTTTGACTGAAATATGTTTCGAATATATGAATTCCTTCATGAGAGTGTTGCAGTGATACTACTGAACCACAAAGTGTTGACATGAAGTTTGTTTTGTTAAAGTAAGATTTGTTTTAAAAAATAAACGAATAGAAGTACATGACAAAAATTTTGAAAAGAAAATAACGTGCATATTTTTTACTCCCATTTGAAGAATTTTGTTGTTAAAGAATTAGTTTAATTATTTACGGTTCTCTTCCTCAAATCACCCTAGTAAAGGCGGACGCTCTTTGTAGTGCTAAAACATAGGATTGTAGGATTTGCCAAAAAAATAAAACCATAAGTTTGATTTTTTTTTTGAAGAAAGAACGTTTTATTCATAACAATAAAAAGTACATGAAAAGAAGTCAAATAAAAGGAGAAACACACGGAAAAAGAAGGAAACAAAATAAATAAATTAAAAGACAAAACTAAACCCAAGGGAAATCTCTAGTCTGCGATCTGGTCCTCATACTGTGTCGCCTTTTATTTTGCTGAGATTTCCTGTAAAGTTTTAGTTGCGTGTTCAGGTTCTCTGTCGGCAGACAATTTTCGGATGTGACTAGCTTTGCTTTGCGGCAAATCGTCCAGTTGAATTTGGAGTTCCCAATTTCTTCCTGGTTGGATAACGGAGGGCGTCGATCGCTTCGGTGGCATGCCCTAGAAAATCGTCTAAGAAAAAAGATTCATCAGAATGGTCAAAGCTGTCCGAGGCGTCAGAGTAGGCCTCGATAAGAGGAATTTGTGGTTGTATCTCAAGGGAAGGGGGTTGTTGCTTCCCGCTGTAAGCTCTCTGCACTTCATAGACCATAAGTTTGGTTTTTCCCTATACAAGATTAAATATTACCATGTAGTTTTCCGTTCCTAATTTAATTAATTAGGTAATCGATATAAATATTGTCTCTAATTCCCTTTCATAACTAAGACCAGTCCATTGGTGACAACAACGCTCGACAACAGTGCAATTCAAGTATATCGATGGTGATAATATGATGGGGGATTCGATGACCGGCGGCAAGCAGTCCAACGACGTGACCTAGAGGTAATAGTGCTCCAGCCCTATGAGACTATTGTTGACCAACTAGAAATAAAAAGTCTTAATTATTAGGGAAAACTATCAAATAAGCCCCCCACCTTTTCAAAAAAATCAATTAAACCCTTCTACTAAAAATTCAATCAATGAAACCCTTAAACTTAATTAAAAATACCAAATTGTCATTTTTACCGGCAATGAACAAATTGCCCCGTTATTTTGTACGAACACAGTCAACACACTGGCACTTTTCATTTTTTTCAATTTTTTTCATTTTTCTTTATTCTTTTTCTTTTTTTCTTTCTTTTTACTTTTCTTTCTCCTTCTTCCGATCCTCCGATCCACAGTCAACACACTGGCACCTTCCTCCGATCCTTCCCGTTCCACTGTTCCAGTAAACCTCCTTCTTCCATCTTTGTTCCACTCCCTCTTTCTTCTCCCACCCTACCACCAATATTAGCTCCCTTCCCATTTAAGAAGAGTCCTCTATTCTTCACCCCATCCGCCGGTTTATAACTCTGGGAGCCATCCAGAGAATCTTGCTGGAAGGTAGCGACCAGGTCAGGCCGTTCCTTAGCTTCTCGTGTCGTTCAACAACTCCGGCCGAAGGCTCTTTGTACTTTGTAGATTGCGGAGATCTTGTCCGTCGGTACTAGCAGTCATGGGTTCCTCCTTCGGACTGCTTCGTAGCTTCAATTCGGCTATAGACCTTAGTTGGCGCCTCGCGCCAAAGAAGAGGAATAGGCAAGAGGAAGCATACAGGAGCGAGGAGGGTGATGTGAGGCCAGGAAAAACGAGCAGAGCACTAGGAAGGAGAAGAGAAATAGAAAAGAAAGAAGAAAAAGAAGTAACTTTTACCACCATAACAAAAAAGAAGTAATTCATTCATATACAAGACTAATAATATTTACTTTGTATTTCATCCATTTATAAATCAAACACTGTAACAAAAAACAAGTAATTCATCCATATTCATAAAACTCAGTGATTTCTACAACTAATTTATACAACTACAACGTCACGAACTTATTTATTTCTTCCTATAATCTTCCTTTTTAATTTTGTATTTTCTTATCCTTTTATACAAAACAATACATAAATAAAAAAAAACTAAATGATAATCTCTATATTCAATTTATCAACCTTATTTGTCACCTTTATATCAAATATTTAATTTTTTATTTCACGAGTTGAATTATGTAATAATCAAAATAAATAAAATTGAATTTACTTTTCTAGCTGAATTGACTGAAAGTGCTGAAAATGATCATTTTAGCTAAATTTATGTACAATTTTATATGTTTTTCAAAAATATTAATAAACTAAAATCCAATTACAAGAATGTGATTATTAAAGCTACTATGACTATAGTCTAATGGTTACTTAAGTGTAAATTTGAACATAAGTTACTAACTTACTACGACTAAAATGACTACTATAGTCACTACATAAGAGGTCACATTTTAACACCCTTTATTTTAGTCCTGAATTATAATTATTTCATAATTTTATATTTGTTTTACAAATAAAATATGTTTTAAATTTATTTATTTCAAAATTCAACGTATTCAATCAATTCGACTTCAATTTCATCATTTTGAGTAGAACCAGTCAACTTCAAACATTATAAATCACGGGGAAAATGTGCAACAAAACCGCAAAGTGACTGTATTGGGCCACATCAAACCGCATTGAGACTGCAACACTATTTTTTTTATTATGTTCGAACATAAAATTAATTCACACCGTATCGGCCGCAATAACCGCGACAACTATAAGTACAATTTTAAAACCTTGACATGGACTAAAGTGTAAGAGTCTATTTGGTAACAATAAAATTGACTGAATCGGATCAATCTGCTGAAATTTATAAAATCATGAGTGAAGTAGTTGAATTGGTTAAATCTGCTGAATTGTGAAACTACCGGGGCATTGCCCCGGGCTCTACACTAGTTAATATGACAATATTTATGGGAGATTTTCCTAAATATGATTAAAGATGTTTTTTGGACTGAAATTTGTTGATATGATCTGGTCTGGTCAAAACTGGTCTTGTTGGTCTGGTAAATGTCTAGTCTCTGTATATTTTATAATTGTCTAAGTTTGATCTGGTCAGTTTAAGTCTGGTCTGTTTAAGTCTGGTCTGGTGTGTAACTGAAAACAATCCAAAAAAAAAACATTCTAAATTAAAGCAAAATTGCAACAATAGAAGCTTCAAGTTAAAATTCCCAAAATAGGACTAACACTTCTATACTATCCTCTCTCTTACCATTCTTAATAGGATTTTTTAAATCATAATAATAAAACATAAAAAAAACGTAAAAAAATAAACAAACAATGCAGGTCTCAACCACCACCTCAACCATTTTCTAGCGCCGCCACCTTCGGTCTCTGGAAAAGAATTTCAAGTTGAAAAAAAAAACCGAATAGAGGACGTGATGACAGTGGCCTAATATATATTTTTTAAATATTTTTAAAGTATTTTATTTATTTTTTAGAGTTTTTAAAAAAAATAAATTCTTTTTATTTTTTATATTTTATTTTGTATTTTAACACTCAATATAAGGTTGTCATTATGAGAAGTCTTATGTCTAACATCATCTAGAACAAAGATCCAAATAAGAACATCATGGTGCAACTTGAACCAATGAGAACACCAAGGAGCACCCTTTCCATCCACTAATCTATGACCATGTCTTTTCAATCAATTACCCATTGAATAGCTCTCTGAACCTTATATTTAGTAGTAAATAGTGCTCCTTTAATTTGGCTCAAAAATATGATCTCTATATCATTTTTGCACTTGATGTTTGGTGCTGAGAAAAAAACATCTCCATTTGTTTACTAAAGAGAACGAATAGATTGTTCCAAGTCAATCTGATTAGCAGGTTAGGGGCTTGAGCAGGTGTTGTGTACTTGAGTAGCAGATGGACAAGAAGAGAGGCGTAGGGAAAAAGGGAAAGGAAAAGAAAACGCCACGTAGGCCCGCAGTGTGACTGGGAACCGGAAGAGTACGGGTTAAAAAGAGGATTTGGCTATTTTCCAATAGTTCGAGGGTTTGATTGATCGGATTTTTAGTTGGGGGGCCTAATTGATTTTTTGGAAAAGTTAAGGGGCTTATTTGATAGTTTTCCCTAATTATTACAATTTAAACTAATAAGTCATATTTTAAGAAAATAACATTGTTTTGCAATTTTAGTCCCGTTTGAAAAGAACCTGTTGCTAACACTGAAATGGGTTAAATCAATTGATTCTGCTGAAATTTTATGAAGTTCTGGTTGAAGTGACTGCATTGACTGATTCTGCTGAATTATTAAAAAAATACTATCCTCCATTCTATAATTCTTGCAACAGTTTGACTTTCACATTTGCCAACGCACAACTTTGATTGTAATTATGTTTAATTATGTATTAGTAAACATTATAAAAAGTTGATATTTTGGAAATTCACATTGATAGGAATTCAATAACATTTTATAGGTAATAATTTGGTTATGTATATTAGTAGAAAATCATGGTCAAAGTAAGGTTTGTGAATAGTGCAAAAATCACAATGTTGCAAGAATTAAAGAACGAGGAAGTATTAACATATTTTTTATTAATAAAATTAAGAAAAACTTAGATGAAAAATAGCCAAAATGGTCCTCAAATGTAATTTCAGCCAATACAATCAGAAAATTAATTCTAACCTTACTTTATCTTATTATTATAAAACTCAGTGCGAGAAATCCAAATATACGTGTTTGATGAAAAAATTGATTGATAAGCTTGACAAGTCGAAAGACAAGGTTCAAAGCACTCCTAAATCTCCCAATAAAGGCCCCTTTAATACACACGAGAATTTTCTTAAAAATACACTAGGTTGGCACACTCGCAGATTTGTTTAGCAGCTTTATAATTTAGGACTTACGTCCGTTGGAAAGAGTTTTCTAAAAAATTCATTGTGTACACGCGGGTTACACGCCCGTGTACATAGCATAACCCCCCCCCCCCCACCCCCCCACCGAAATGACTCGCCCCTCTCCCCTTTCTACCAAAATAACCCACACATGCAACCCCATTTTGTCTGCCTCCGTTTTTTCATTTGTTTGTGTCCTCTTCACTCTCTATACCGCTCGTCCTCTTCCACTTTGACAGACGCCCACCATGGATGTGAGTACAACATACGTCTGTGACGACGAAGTTGGCATGTTGATATTCGTGTAATTTCCGAGTGTATGTTTGTATTTTTAACTAGTTTTTATTAGTTCTAGTTGTGGAAATTACACACTTTTGGTGTAATACTTTATTTTCATTTTTATTTGTAATTTAGTTAGATTAGGATTTTTCTGAGCTAAACAGGTCAAAGATCATCTAAGGGATCAAGATTGGACCTTAAAAGATCAAGGAAAGTGCAAGGAGACAAGAAAGATTTCGATGTGGAAAAAATACTCATGTACCCGGTCGGGTATTGCCTATACCCGATCGAGTAATTGCTTGATTCGACTGTCCAAATCAAATCCGAAGACAAATGATCGTGGGAGCAAATTTTCATAAAGATTTGTCACATACCCGATCGGGTATATACCCTTACCCGATCGGGTATGCCCAGAAAAATGACTTTCTGGGCAATTTCCTGAGATACCCGGTCGGGTATCCTATATACCCGGTCGGGTATCAGACTCTGCAGCTCCCAAAAGCCTATAAATACACCCCTTTCCTTCACAATAAAATCACCAATTCACATATACTCTTTAGCTCAGTTTAGATTAGTGTTTTCTTTATATTTTCTATCATGTTTAGTCTCCAAATGAGGAGCTAAACTCTTCCATCTTGGTTTTGCTACTTTGAAGCTTAATGAATTTGTAAGTTGTGAGTTATTATCTTTAATCTTCTTCCTTGAATATTAATTCTTCCTTTAAATACTATTTCTATATCAATGTTGGGGAGTGTTACTAAGATGACAATTAGTTAACATCTTGACATTAGTTATAGTAATAGTTATTTCTTCCTCTACGTTAGTATCGGGGAGTGTTACTAAGATGACAATTAGTTAACATCTTGATATTAACCATAGTAGGATTCATCTTCTTTAATATTCTTTCTTGAGTATTAATTAATTCCTATTCATATTTCATATTAATATTTTGAACATTACTTAAAGGATCAACTAGTTTTGTTTCATATATTAATTATTACTAGAATCGGTCGATTAATACGCTTGTTATTAATTCGGTCCTTTCGCGGTAGTAAACTTGGGTTATTAATGCATGCGTTTCATGGTTAATAAACCAAGGGGAATTAATTATATTGATTAAACCAATAAACCGCTTGTGTTGAGGTTATCAATCTCAATCGTTTTCATCTTGATTTTATTGCTACTATCGAGTGAATATACGGCGCGTGTTCTATATTAACTAGGTAGTAAGTTTTATTAATGAACGCGTCTCGTTATTAATAACTACCCTCGATGAATTGGATATACTCCTCGATTGAGTATTCGAGAGGAAGATAGTTAAAGATATAACCGGGATCGACGAACATTTCATTAAGTGGATAAAAGCAAAGCCAAGTCTCCTTCTCATTAATTAAACCACATAACTCGTTCATCTTCGTATTTAATTAAATTAAATCACTCAAACCTAAACCCCCCCCTTTTGTTACTTTGTAATTAAAAAGAGAAATATTCCTTTCCCTGTGGATACGAACCTTACTTCATTATACTACGTATAATTGTTGTATTGTATTATTAGTTTGAGTGCACACCGCGACAAAGTGCACGTCAAATTTGGCGCCGTTGCCGGGGAAAGGCAATTATTTTTCTTTTTATTTTATTTCAAGAAAAATAAAAAAAAAATATAATTAAATAAAAATAAAACCGAATCACCAATCTATAAACCAATTGGTGATAACTTGGTATAACCGATCTCTTGAAAAATATAAAGAATTCTTATTTTCTATTTCTGAGCTTTGTTTGAGTATATGGTTAAACACCGATCTATAAACCAAATCACCTACCAAACAAATCCCGAAACGGAACAAGCCTTCGAGAGGTTTAGGAATTTATTTCCGAATACTTCTTCGGAGGAATCATCAAGTGCTAGCTCCAACTCT